GAAAAAGTATTGTTTTTAGTTAGCCATTAGTTTCATGATTATCTTGCCAGTTGCACTAGATTTTATGGCAGTTACTGACGAGTGCTATAAGATCGTTACCAATAGTGCAGGTAGATCAATTGCGCCAGCGATTGTGCAGAATGGATCCCCTTCGTGGTGATTCAAGCACTGTTAGGGAAGCCGGCTACACCGCCTTTGCTTTGAAGTACCTGTGGGTCAAGAAAATATGGGCGAATCAGAAGTGGTGAAAGTCAGGCCCGTGTAAGAGTCAGGCCCGTGTAGCCAAAACGTCAGGCCCGTGTAGCAATTGCCAATAATTAACTTTATAATTATAAATAGCTAGACGGGCGCGTTTCGCAGTGTTGCGACCGCAGTGGCAGAAGCTGAAGCAGGCATCGCGCCAGTGCTTGAGCGGCACGCCAAGACAGCAGCCAAGAATTGGGTCAACCTCCGCACGCTGCCGAGGGAGCATGGCAAGGCTGAACATGAGGATCTGTCGACGGTTCACATCACCGATGCAGAAGATGGCTGAATTGTACAAGGAAGTAGCCGGTCAGCGATTGGAGGTGATCCAAGAGTTTGCCATGGAGCCGTGGGAGCGCCGCATCCCTGTTCTCTGCTATGCCGATCGAGACAAGGCGACACAACTGACCAGGAAGGCGCGAGGCGTGGTCGTCTCGACGAGCTCTTCCGAGAGAGGAGGAATTGTCGGCATGGGGGGCTGCGTGGAGTACGTGACGGCAAAGGGCAAGAGGGACGTGCTGGTCCGCTACTCGGCCACTCTGGGGCCGCGGGAAGACCTGAATCCATACGTAGCAGAGCTGGAGGCAATCGCAAGAGGGTTCTGGTATTTGCCGGCGACGCTGCGACACAAGAACGTGACAATCGTCACCAGCAACAAATCCGCGGCGCTAGTGATAGCCCAACCGCGGCAGCAGTCAGGCCAACGCACCTTCGGAGAAGTATATGGGCAAGTGAAGCAGCTTCATCTACAGCATGTCCCAGTCTCCGTGGTATGGGTTCCCGCAGGGGCGGATGGCTTCCCACCCGGCACGGTGGCTAAAGCAGCAGCCCGCGAAGCAACGAAAGAAGGGTGCACCCAAGGGAGAGCAATCTATCAAGCACGGGCTACGAGAACAAGGTTGTTGCTCTGCAGGCAGCAGCAGCGGCAGAGAAGGATACCGCCAGGTGTAGGAAAGTATTCCCAGCGCATCGACATAGCCCTCCCGGGTAAGCACACGCGAACGATTTACGACGACCTCAGTAGACAAGAGGCCAGAATACTGGTGCAGCTACGAACAGGCAAGTGCAGGCTCAACAGCTATCTGCACAGGATCAACGAGGCGAGGGTGACGACAGAACAATGTCGCTGTGGACAGGCGGCGGAGACGGTAGAGCACT